GGGTGGTCACCAGGGGTTATACATGGTAGGGATAGCACAGGAGATCTTAGGGATAAGATGGTTCTGTATCCTGAAGTGGCAGTTGTGGTTACAGGAATCCACATGTGATAAAATCCCAGTGAACCATATATTACATACCAACACCAATTTCTTGTAATGATGCTGTACTGTAAATAAATAATTAATGGAGAAAACTAGGTGAAAGGTACATGGGATTTTGCAAGTTCTTGTGGAACTATAACTGTTTCACAGTAAGGAATAAAATAGATTTGTTGGAAATGCACAGTGATCCTACCATTCTTACGTTTGAATTCTTTCAGAGAATTAAGAGTGTGGTTTATGACTGTGACTAGTAATAATCAGATAAATAGAGATTAGAAACTCATGTGCAAACATCTTAGTGTCAATTGCATTAAAAATGAACTTTTCTGTATGAAACTATGTATTTTAATAATGAAATGGAGATCTTTTTTAAAGGTTAAAACCTCATTTAATTTTATGTCTTATAGGGTTTATATTGAGTACAATATTATATAACTGTATCAATTCTATTGTAAACCTAAAATTTACAGCCAATTTTGAAACAGATGCATCTTAGCTCTGGAATTTGTTATTGAATATGTCAATGCTGTCATCATGAAATGCTTCTTCTAATTATGTGGTTATTAAATTTTTTAAAATTATGTGGTTATTAAATAGAAAAAAGAAGAGTATGGTTCAAATCCTCAGCAGATGGCAGGCCCCCTTGCCAGCTCCTGGACAGTACAAACCACCTGGGATTCCAGTCACACACTGGCCACTACACACCTGCAGGCCTCTGCCCGGCAGTCCCATCTGCCTAATTGCCTGTCCCTTCTACTCTTCTGGCCAGCATTCATCCTCCTTTGAAATCTAGTTCAAGCACCTGCTTCTCATACAAGTTCCCTCCTCAGTCTTCCTCTTTTCACTTCATCGAGTGCTCTTGCATTTTGCATGGAAAGTCCACCAGCTCCATTCTATGTTCCTTAGTGGGAGAAACTGTGTCAGACTTATTTCTGAACCCCTCCCTACTCATTACCAAGTGGGTACTCAGGCAATGTTTGTTAAAGGCAGACTAATAGAAGGCAAATGTAGTAAGGCAGTGTAGAGCAGGGGTTAAGATAAGTCTTGAGGGACTGGAGAGATGGCTCAGTGGTTAAGAGCACATGCTGCTTGTCCAGAGGACGAGTTAGGTTCTCAGCACTCACATCAGATGGCTCACAACACCTATAACTCCAGTTCCAGAGGGTCTAATGCCTCTGGTCTCCACAGGCACTTGCACTCATGTACACATACCCACATTACAGACATACACATATACGTAACTAAAAAGAGTAAGAAATCTTTTTTAAAAAGGTCAAGTTTTAAGTCAGACTCCCAGTGAGCTAGTTGCTTACCTGGGTGACCGGGAACAAGTTACCCTCATCTGTAAAACAGGGAGAAGCACACAACCTCAGGATACTTCCAGATGAGAGTACAGCCCATGTGAGAAGGTATCTTGACCTGAGTATACCCTGAATCACCTTGAGCAAGCTTCATCTAGATCTAACCACTGCTTCCCAGGAAAGACAGAAACATTTAAGAAACACACTGCAGAGATGCCACAGGTACAATCCCAACTGTGGAGGTGCTACAGAATAACCCAGTTCAGTCACTTCAACAGGTCAACTATAAGGAAAGCGCAAAAGAGGTAGAAAGACAATCTATAAATTAAAAGAAACTTATGTCTGTAATCCTAACACATGGGAAGCAGAGACAAGATTATTGCTATGACTTTTAGGCCAGCCTGGGCTAAAATTCTCATGTCTCAAACAAAAAATCCACCAAAAAGGAGAGAGTGAGGTGTGTGAGAGAGAGAAAGAGAATGGGAGGGGAGAGAGAGAGAAAAGAAATCTGTAAAACAGGGAGAAGCACACAACCTCAGGATACTTCCAGATGAGAGTACAGCCCAATCACAACATAAGAATCTTGGAGCTGGAGAGATGGCTCAGTGGTTAAAAGCACTGGCTGCTCTTGCAGAGGACTCAGGTTCCATTCCCAGCACCCACATGGCGGCTAACAACCCATCTGTAACTCCAGTTCAGGGAATCTAACACTCTCTGGTCTCCATGGGCATTGCACACATATGGTATACTTATAAACATGCAAACAGTCATATACATAAAAATAAAAAATAAAATCTTACCTGGATCTACTTTCAAATGATTAAAGAAACTATCAACTTCATGAGACACCTAGATAAATTTGAATGTTGACTGGTTACTTGATGTTATTAAGGAATTTTTGCTTTACATAAGTTTAAAGGGATCCTTATCTTTAGAGACATATACTGAGTAGCTCAAGGTGAAATAGCATGGCAATAAGGATCTGTTTGAACATAATGTGAGGTGGGTTTGTGCACATGAGTGAGGTCAGGGATGAAATGAACCCATCAGAGTCAGAACTTGAAGTTGGTACTAGTCTGTTTATTTTCAAAGTTCCCACCATAAACAATTAAAATAACAGACTGATGGTGAAATTAATTCACACAAAGACCAAATACAAATATTAAGAATTATTTTTTCTTAAGGAAAATTATACAAATTGGCACCTTTCTGACCAGGTATGAAAGAAAAGTTCAAATTTAGAGTAAAAATAGTTGTCCTGCTGAATCAATAGTTTTAAGAAAAAATTTAAAGATTTGTATTTCATCATATACATATATATATATATGTGGTTCACTCACCAGTAATTGCTGTGCCTGGCACTTTGCTTTAATCAGAAAGTTAAGGTTTTGAGTTTAAATAGACATTTTCAAGTCTAGCCTCAACATTTATTCAGGGGACTGAGCAAAGCTATTTTCATATGTTAACAAATTATTATAAAATCCAGGTACCTTGAGAATTAAAACCTCAGAAAAGCCAAAGCTCTCTGGAGATTATGCCCCAAAAAAGAAGATTATTTTTAACCATGCAAGATTCTTCTGAAAGGAAAAAAAGATTAGTGGAGGCAAACATTAACTAGACTGGCTATTGTTCTTCCAGAACAAATGGAAAGCCAAACAAGATTATTCAGAGCTGAGTATCCTACATTTAGGGGAGATCTGGATTCAAATTCTTACCTGCTGCTTGCGATGAAGCACTGTGTGCCTCCATTTGCTCTACCTCCTCAGTGAAACCTGGTTTCCTCTCTGCCAGTCACAGGGTGCCGGCTGCACTCAAATGAGTATCTGGGCTGGTACCTGGGCAAACAGGGCCTAACTCCCTTGGCCTTAGGCTACTTTTCGTGAACCTTTCGGAGTCTCCCTCCTACACAGCCAGCTCTGGAGGTTAACAATCCTGCAAGCAAGGCCCACATGTGGCTTGGCTCACAGCAGTTTCAGAATCTGAATTAGCTACCAACACTGAAAAGTCAGGAGAGTCCAGCACTTGGGAGTTCTGAGTTCTTTCAGAAAAATTGCTGAGTGAGGAGGCTCTCCAGGGTCGCTATCATTCCACAATCCTACATTGGCTTCTGAGAGCCGATTCCCAGCTCCACACTGCATGAAAGTCCTCCGTCCTTGCTCTATCAACTCTCTGTACCAGTTTGTGCTCAAGGCCCACCAGCACCACCTGCCACCTCTTCCATCTCTATGGCACAGACCCACCACTACAGCTGCTGCCATACCCTGTCCTAGAACTGCCTGTATGCCAGTCTGTTCTACTGGGCTCCTGGGCTCTCTGGGGGAAGGTACCTGGTTGCTATCTCCTTCATGTCCCTAGAGCCCAGCAGAGTGTGACCTAGATAAAGCAGGCTTCAGTAGATACCTCTTGAACATATGCAAAGAGGTTAGCACAAAACTCACAAAAATGTGCAATATTTTTAATCACAGCTTGTTCTGGAAGTTACCAAATGAAAGGGTCAAAAACATTAAAAATATTTCACAAAATGAGAACAAGATTCCATCTGCTTACTCGTTTCACAAGTTGGAAGTCTCCAACATAAGTAGAGACAACAGGCAGGCAAGGGACTAACCTAGGTCATTCGTGGAGCAGACACTCCTGAAAACAGTGACTGTTATCAGTCAACTACCTGTATTCATAAAGTTGCATAAAACGGGATAATAAGTAAGATAACATCAAATCAGGGAAACTGCTAGAAGAAAAATGAGGGAGGGGGACCCTGAACTGATTAGCTGGAATGACTAAGAGAAGGAAAGGGGTGGTCAAGGAAGGCCTCAGCAAAAAATGAGATGCTGGACCACAGGAGCTGGCAGAAAGAGGCAGCGGTGTAAAAGAAAAACAAAAACAAAAACAACCTTACGGGAAGCGTGGAAAACAGAAAGTGCAAAGGTCCTGAGGCAAATACGGATTTGGCACGCTCCAGGCAGGTGAAAAGAGTGGGAAAACAGAGCAAAGCTCTGCTAGTGTGGGGAGGGGAAGGAGTGGTAGAGAAGGTGGGCAAGGCCCACTCTGGCTTTGCTGGAGGAAGAATGACAAGGCACTGGAGGGGAGCTGGATCCCCTAGGCGAATGCGAGGTTGTTCCTACAACATTCACCCAGCATGGGGCACGAACCCACCCAGAGGCCCACGAAATATACCCTGGGCTTCTGCCCAAATGCTTTCATACAGTCACGCTGCCTGATAACAACCCGACCAAAACGGAGCCAATTCCCCCACTTTCCCGAGGGGAAAATCGAGGGGCAGCGAGGGTCAGAGTCACCAAGGTCGCGGAGACGAGTCCAAGCTCCCCGGCATCCAGCACCCGGGTACAGCTGCGTGCAGCACAGCTGGAACGGAGGGTTTCCACAGCCCCCGCCGGCAGGTCTGCTGTGGCCAGGCCAGACAGCGGGCCCGCAGCCCCGGGCTGACAGCTGGCAGGAGGGGGCGACTGCGACGCCGCTGAGGGCCGGGCGGGAACCGAGCTGCTCGTACCCCACAGCCGCACGCCCACCCGGCCGGGCCGCCTCGCACCCACCCCGCAGCCCCGGACCTCGCCGGGCCTAACCGGCCGCCCGGCTCACCTCGGCTCCCCGCCAGGAGGAGAGGACCAGCGGCACAGGCAGCGCTGCACGCTGGCGGCTCCCAGTTCTGCTGCCCCGCTCAGCCCCGCCCCGTCGCCGCCGCAGTGGGTGTGAGGGGCGGCGGGGCGCTACGACCCTTCCGGTCCGGCTCCCCGCTCCTCCGCTGCCGCCGCGGCTACCGCGGCACTCGGCCTGACGGATCCTCAGGTCAGCCAATCAACGCGCGGAGAGCCGGGCAGGCGCGGCCAATCGCGACAGGGGGCGGGCCAAGACTGGGCGGTGTGGGCGGGGCCAGAAGGGACGGGGGTGGGGCCAGCACCTGGCTCTCGGTACCCGAGTGTGGAGTGGCGCCCCCTAGGCGGCTCAGTGCCGCTGAGCGTGGGTCCTCCGCTTGTGCACAGCGGGCTGGAGTTGCAGGAAGGCTAGGATGGTCTCCTGAACCCGCCCTCCGGGCCAGGAGATCAGCATGCCGCGGAAAGGGTGGACCAAAGGGGTCGGTAGCCCTGCAGGGGCAGGACCGGCGAGACCAGGGCGTCTCACTGTGGCAGCGTCCACGCGGGAGTCAGACCTCCGGGATGCAGGTGCAGGCTCCCAGCAGAGAGGCGGCCTGGAAAAAGGCAGAGGCCCGGGGCTGGATCAAGGAACATGGCGTATAATGGTCTCCAGAGGAGGAGGGAGGCCTTGGTCTCCCTTGCTCGCTAATTCGGGTGCTCTGCGCATGCCTTTCTCAATGGTCTTGTAACAGGGGTGCGGCCCCGGTTGTACGCGGGGCGGGGCGGGTGATGATAGAGGATAACGGTGATCGCGATCCTGGTGAGTCAGGGTTGAAGTATGGCATAGAAGGGCACTTGGTGGCCGGGATCAAGCTTCCGCCAGGGCGTAGAGAGACGGAGAGAGGCATTCAATGCTGAAGGGCTTCTAGACTGGGGTCTTCCTCACTGAGCTGTTTTTGCCCATCTCCTGCAGCTCTCTGGCTCTCAGATCTGGTTGCAGCAGGTCTGGGGTCGTAAAAGATGTTAAGAACCTAGAGTTTTGGGTCTAGACAGCTATGCGTTTGGATTAAAAATCTGGAATGGACAAGAAGGTTGGACACGCTGGAGAAAAGCTCAGATCTGTAAACGGTATGGGGTTAGAGGATTGGCATTTGAGGGAGTGGAACATATGTTCACACACTGTTTTCTGTAAGAATTCTGTTTATTCCGTAGACACTGCTTTCCTTTCTTATGAAATAATGGTGGACACATGGATGCAGAGCTGAAGAGACATGGGGGGTTGCTGGCTCATGCTTTGAAAGAGTACAAAGAATCTTGGTGGAGACAGTGGTTGACAACTGGTGACTGTCGAGGTACTAGAGCCGTCATCACAGGATGCCAGGGAGTGGCCAATGACAGAGCAGAACCCTCTAGATGGGTATGCCAAAGGACTAGGAGGCCCCGAGGGTGATGGCGGAATTTGAAAGGGGAGCTGCAACCTGTCACTTAGGTTCCAAGGACTGAACCAGGCCTCAGCATGGGGCCCCAGAGGAGGGATGGGGTAGAGAAAATGATCCAGTCAGCATAATGTCCTCCACCTTCGCCACTAGAGGGAGGATGACTCATTCCTGCTTAGAATTCTAGCTCCTCAAATGTGCAGCATTAAGATCCATTTGGTAGACTTCTGTCCTCAACTCAGCCTCATGTCATTTGCCTCAGGCGCACCAAAGAGAACACAGGACCAACAGTTGCCATTATGGGAAACCAGTGAAAGCCTGGCTGTCAGAGTTGTGGTTTCATGGAGGGGCACTTATCAAGTGCTTCCTCTTGGATTAGAATAGTTGATTTTTGGTTTGGTTTTTTTGAGACAGGATCTCACTGTGTAATCCTGGCTGACCTGGAATTCACAGTGTAGACCAGCCTGGCATTGAACTCTTGGAGATCCACCCGGCTCTGCCTTCAGAGCACTGGGATTAAAGGTGTGCACCACCACACCCTGCTCCCTCGGATTAGAACAAGATTCCCAGACACAGTGAAGCCTGATTTTATAGCACTGACCCCTTGCTAAGTAAGTAACCACAAATCACTTACATATGTTCACACTAAGTTTTCTGTAAGGATTCTGCTCATTCTGTAGACACTGCTTTTCTTTCTGATTTATGAAATAATGGTGGACACATGGATCAGAGCTGAGAAGATATGGGGGTGGGTGCTTGCCTATGTTTTGGAAGAGTACAAAGAATCCTGGTGGAGGCCTGTAAGTGAAAAGATCCTAGGGCTGGGGAGATGCCTCACCAGTTAAGAGCACTTGCTGCTCTTACAGAGGACCAGAGTTCAGTTCCTATGGGATTGGACTTACATTCAGATGAGAACATCACAGATGAATGGGTTGAATTGGCTAGAAAAGGTCTAAGTCTGTGGGCATATTCTCTGAAAGCCAGATGGGGAGAGGAGACCTGGGAGCACAGTTGAGAGACTGGGTGGAAGCCGACACTCAGGACTGTATAACTACATGTTGAATGCCATGGCCCTCAGGCAACATTCTCTAGGCATCTCCCAGAGCACCAGCTGCTGAACTCTGATTCCCAGGCTGGAGACCAGAAAGCTCTTCTGAAAGTCTGACAGTCCTTAAGAGAACATTGATATTATGACACTCTACATGCCCCTGGGGCATGATTCGCTAGATTTCCCAGCAGTCAATGTCCACATTAACAGATGGACACTCAGAACCTCTCAGCAGCCCCCCTCGAATCTGAGCAGATAGCCTAAGATCATACGGCAGAGCAAATTAATATAACCTCACAGAAAACAGAATCTTTTTTTAAGACTATGCAAAGAATAAAATTTCAAAAGATTAAAGTATTATCACTGGCTTCAGAAGGACTGAAAATACATCACACCCTTGAATCAAGCCAGCCAGCCATTCCAAAGCTTTTCCGTACACTGATGTCCTTGCCATCACATGAGGTGGCTCAGAGGTAACAACATCCTGGTAGCAGAAAGCTCACCCAGAGCTCAGATCTTTGTTTCTATTCTCTGATGGAAGCAACTGGGGATTTCTAGAAAAATGGTAGAGCAGAGCTGGTGCAGGAAATGGACAAGTTAAACCTGGAGTTTAGTGTAGTGTAAATAAGGAAGTACTTAACAAAGCACACATGTACATGCACACAGAATGGTGGAGATGCGTTAGAGACACAAAGGCCAACTGGAAGCGCTCCTACTGCTGTAGCCAGAAACATTTAAGCAACACAATAGCATGGCACTGGCACTGTACCTTTGCAGGGACAGAACCTGGTACTGCAACCTGGTAATCAAGGTCAAAATCAACAGGCTTAGGGCACACCAACAGTTTGTGTCCTTGATGCGATGTGATGAGAATAGCTCTTTTCTGTGGTCTTCCTCCCCAAACCCATAACTTCATTCCAACCATGAGGAAAACATCAGGCAAATCCAACTGATGGACATTCTACAAAGGACCCACCAGCACTCCTTAACAATTAGAAGTGGTCAGATTAGTAGTGGTTAGGTTAGTAGTGGTTAACTTAGTAATAGGTAAGTGTAGATAGGGTAGTAGAGATAGGTAAGAAGAGAAAATTGAGCACATTTTCCAACTTTTGAACAAAAAGACAAGATTGACAGGAAGAAAAGAATACAGAGACCCATCCCATGGAATAGCTTCAAGCCCTGAGCCACAGGCATTTTGGAGAGGTCAGAGAAAAGGAAACCAAGCTGTTCATGATTTCCCAGAACTGAAGGGCATGAATTTCCAGACTGGAGTTAGCACCAAATGAAGAGACCTGAGGCCCCACACTGCAGTATCTGAGGACACAGGGAACAAAAAGAGGATAAAATTAAAGGTCACCTACAAAGACATATCAGAATGATTTTAGACTCTGTAGCAGCACTAGGAAGATAATGGAAAATTCTAAAGAATCTTTTTTCAGACTTAAAATTCTATTTTAAGTAAACCTTCAATCAGATGTAATAATTTCCATATCTGCAAGTTTTCAAAAATGTTCTTCCTGCCATGGTCTATTGGGTTTGTGCCCCACCATTGATTCATATATCATTCTAACCCTCATCTGAATTTAACAGAGTAGGGCCTGGGGCTCAGAAGATGGCTCAGTGGATAAAGCACTTGCTGTACAAGTGTGAGGACCACAGTTTGGATCCCTGGCACCCACATAAAAGTCAGGTTGGTGTGGTGGCCTGCCTGTCATCCCAGGACTCAGGAAGTGGAGATCCTGATGAAAACTAACCAGCTAGATTAGCGAATTAGCAAGCTCTGGGTTCAATAAGAGACCCTGCTTCAGTAACTAAAGCAATCGAGAAGATACCCAGTGTCAATCTCTGGCCTCCATATGTGTATATACACAAGTAAACATGCACCCATGCACCTGTGAACATGCATACTACACACACACACACACACACACACACACACACACACGAGGGCTTTAAGTCTTTAAGACCTCATGCATGGGATCAATGCCCTTGTAAGAGAAGACCCAGAGAGCTCACTTGCCCCTCCCACCATAAAAAGATACAAAGAAAAGACTTCTGGTAGGAACCAGGCCCTCACCAGATACCAAATCTTGCTAGTGCCTTGACCTTTGAATTCCCAGCCTTTAGAGCAATGAAAAATATCTCTCAATGGGGGTTAAATTTCAATGTATGAACCGCTGGGGACACATTCCACTCAAATCCAAACCACACCACTTACAATGGGGCTGTTCCCAGACACACTGCTCAGATCCTCAGAAGTGCATAAAAAGGATGAGGTTAACCAAATCCAAACAAACAAGACCAAAAAAAAATTCATACTGTCTTTATTGTTTTTTAAAATTGCATAGTACATTGATTGTGCACGCTTTTAAATGGAGCAGGGCAGGCTCATTGGAACTACCCTCTTGCACAGGCATTTCAAGCTGTCTTACTATGAGAAGGGAGCAGGGACCAAAATGCCACCTGGACTTAAAAACAACCATGATATGATTAAGCAGAAGTCGGAGAGTTGGAGGGATTTGAGTCATTGGAGAATGTTGAAAGGAATAGAGATTTCAACTGGGCTCAATAGGAGGCATGGAAGAGTAGAGGTGACTCACTGATGTCAGAAATCAAGAGCAGCGTCCAGAGGGAGGGAAAGGAGTCAGAGGGCCAATGCCTTGTGCCCAAATCTGAAATGACTGACACTCACCAGGAGTGAGCCCAGAGACAGTGCCCTGGGTAGCCAGGATGCTCAGTCTGGGTGTTAACCATGGCTACAGAAAGCTGCATACTAGAAAAATAACTTAGAAGCTATACAATCAACATTATAAATATTTCATCTTTTAAAATTAGCTAGTGTTGGTTTAAAAAGGTTCACAGTTACTCTGAAGAGAGCAGTATCTCTATTGCACAGTAGTGGAAAAGTCTGCTCTGATCCCTGTGTGTAAACAACAATCCCTTCTCCTCAGTGACTTCAGGACACAGAGAAACAGCATTTGCTGTAAGCAAAAGCACTTGGGTACAAGGCACGTCGAAGCTCTCAAGCTTTACTGGGAGCATGTGGGACAAGTGGAAGCCCACTCCTTTTCCCTCGTGGCTTCCTTGGAGTTGGTTCAGGTCTTGAATCAGACTAAAGGTGATGATGGTCTCCCCATTGTCTTGTTCTCATTCCACAGTGACAGACTTGGCCAGGTTTCTGGGGAAGTCAACCTAACAGGAAAAAAGAAAGGTGCTGAGGATGGAGCTCAGTTGGTAGAGTCCTTAATTAGCATGGAGGAAGTCATAGGTTCCATCCCCAGCACCTTATAAACCAAACGTGGTGGTATACTGCTGTAATTCCAGCACTTGGGAGTTAGAGGCAGGAGGATTAGAAGTTCAAGGCCAGCCTCGACTACATAGCTGTGGGGTCGCTCCCTCTCCTCGTGGGTCGTTGGCCATGGGTCCACGAGGACAAAGGGAGCAGAAGCAATGAGCGGGGTCAGGACGGCCAGTGAGCACTGACGGAAGAAAGCCCTTCCGGGGAGGCAGGTTCAATGATGCAAAGAGCTCCAAACTCAGTGAAAGAGCTCCGTTTATTCAGTGGGAGAACTAGGGAAAATATAGTGTGGGGGCAGAAGCCAATGCCTCAGCTGATAGGTGCTCATAGTATGCTTTATTTACATGTGGCAGTAAGCGCCTATCGTCTGACTACCAGGCAATGCCTGATTATCATATAGAAAAAACCTGGGGGTAGTTTTCACTCCAGGTAACTATGCCAAAGGTCATGTTCCAAATAAGGTCAGGCATCCGTGCTTCACAGCACTTTCCAGGTAAGTCAGGAAGCGAGCAGGAGGCCCCTTGCTGAGAAGGGGAGTCCTTCCATATGGCCCTGAGCCCCTTGGAGCTACCGGACATGGAGGACTACAATCCTAGCAGCAGGGTTCCCCAACACATAGCAATCTAGAGTTGTTCAGGGCTCCATAAGTCTTAGCAACAGGATGTATCAGAGCACTGGAAGTCAAGGAGACAGGTGTTCCCAGTCACCTGCAGCCATAACCTACCAACCTGAACACCTGCATCCTGAAAGTGGATTCCTTATTCCATAAGTTTCACTTAACTGTGTTTAGTTCACTCAATAAACATTTCCTGTGCACCTGATGTGTCACACACTATTAAAAGAATACAATTCATATATTTAAAAACAGGTAGCCTGGTGGGTACTGTTAAAAATTCACTTTTCAGTTGCCAGGCATATTGGTTCATACTTGTAATCCCAGCACTGGAGAGGCTGAGGCAGATAGATTTGAGTTCAGACAATCAGGTCTATACATAAGTTCAAGGCCAGCCTAGGCTATGTATCAAGAGTCTGTCTCTTAACAAGCAATAAATACATAAATAAATACATAAATAAATAAATAAACTTCAGAACTGAAGGTATAACTCATGGGTAGAGTGCTTGCCTAGAATGGGGAAGCCACACTGGAAAAAACAAATTAATTAAAAAATATTCACTTTTCTTAGAAGGACAGACATGAATTTCACAAGACTTGTTATTTAGGGTAGAGGTTAGGAAGGAAATAGGATCAAGGAGAGCTGAGAAAGTGGGTTTCACTCATTTATATGTTAAAAAAGAGGAAACATACAAGAAAATGTTATTAAATGTCAGTTTTGGATGATATACATTCAAGTGCCTGATATATCGTTCTTTATATTGTTATATATATACATATATATGTATATATATATATATTTTTTGGTCTTTTTGAGATGGTCTCCCTGTAGCCCAAGGTGTCCTGGAACTCACTATCTGCCTCCCGAGTGCTGGGATTAAAGGCATGCGCCACCATGCCCAGCTTGTTGTATATTTTTATAAGCTTCTCCAAATAAAATTGTCCTTCTTTGCACAAGGACTTATATTCTTACACATTGCTGGTAAGATCATAAATTAGTTCTTTTCTAGAACATAATTTAGCAATATATATTAGCAGTCTCAAAATGACAAATCATTTTCTACACAAAGAAAAATCTTAAATATGTGACAAACATGTGCATGGAGTTATTTATAAAATGAAAAATTAGAAACAGTTTAAACAACAGCAGACTAAGTCCTTGTTTGTCAAATCATGTTAAATTATTTACTTTTATTTTATGTGTATGAGTGTTTTGTCTGCATGTGTGTGAGTGCACCACATGCAGTATCCAAGGAGGGCCAAGGAGGATGTCGGATCCCCTGGAAGTGTAGTTAGAGATGGTTGTTAGCCGCCATGTGGGTCCTGGGAACTGAACCCGGGTCCTCTGCAAGAGCTGCCAGTGCTCTTAACTGCTGAGCCATCCCTCTAGTCCTTCAGTAAAACTGTCATAATATTGCAATGGGCTATCATGCAGTGACTAATGTTGCATGTAATGACTTCATAAAGATGTGAAAAATACTTGATATAATTAATACAAGGAAGAAGCAAAATTTAAACCTTGATATAATATTTATTTTTTATCTCTTTTGAATTTGAGACACAGTCTCTCTATGAAGCACAGGTTGCAACCTTTCTACCTTAGCCTCCCGAGTGCCAGCCTTCCTATGTGTTTCACCAGGCCTGGCTGAAAAATGTTCCTAAAAACTAGCATGTACAGGAAAAAGACTGGACTGATATATTAAATGTGCTAATTAACACTGCCTCTGGGTGAGGAGGAGATAGCATATTTTTTACAGTTCTCATAGGATATAAGCTACCTTAAAAAGAAAGTTCTTTTAAAAGAAATTATTTCTCCTATGAGTATTTATGCCATATAAATATTTTAAAACAAAAATGCAATTTTGTTATTACATATCATATCTGCATTGAAATGGCACATTGTACCCCATAAATATGTATGTGTCAATAAAATATTAAAATATGGGCTGGAGAGATGGCTCAGCAGTTAAGAACACTGACTGCTCTTGCAGAGGACCCGGGTTCGATTCCCAGCACTGGCTCAGCGGTAAAGAGCACTGACTGCTCTTGCAGAGGACCTGGGTTCGAATCCCAGCACCCACATGGCGGCTACGAGCCGTCCTTAACTCCAGTTCTAGGAGAATCTGAAGCCCTCTTCTGACCTCTGTGGCATTGCATGACACGGGTGCACTCACACACATGCAGACAATATACTCATACACATAAAATAAAAATAATAAAATATTTAAAATAAATAAAATGTATTTATAAGAAAGGAACTTTAGGGCTAGAGCGATGGCTCACTTGCTGCCTTTGCAGAGGACCCAGGTTCAAGTCCCAGCAGCCACATGGAGGCTCACAACTGTCTATAACCCCAGTTCTGGGGGACTTGGTGCTCTGTTCTGGACTCCATGGGCACTGCATGCAATGATGAACATATATACATGTAGGCAAAACATTCATTCACATAAAATAAAAATAATAAATCTTTTCTTAAAGAAATTTTATGGTTGTTTCTCTTTCCTACACTAATGCCTTTTTTTAGACTTACGTCATAGCCTCGGAGAACAGCCAGGTGGAAAGACAGAAGTTGAAGTGGAATCACGCTCAGGATGCCCTGGAGGCAGTCCACAGTGTGGGGCAGCTCGATGGTTTTATATGCAAACTTAGAACTTTCAGTATCATCCTTTGAGCACAGTATGATTGGGCGACCCTAAAGTGGAGAAATATGCTCATAAAATCACCCTCTCTGAAAGATGCAAGCCCTCTCCAGCACACAGTAGAGTTTCTGGAGTCTTCTAGAATCAGCATTACTATGGTGATAGTCCTAATCTTTTGACTGTGTTTGTCTTTTGACATGACCCATGTTAAGGGACAGTATGTGATGCTTCTGTTTCTTCTCCTTCCCTGGAAGGTGACTGGCACCTTGTTCTATGACTCAGCATCTATTTGTTGACTGTCTTCAGCGCACCTTGCATAGGGCCAGGCAGACCTACTCCTAACACTAAGGGGGCTCATAATCTAGTGATGGAAACAAAAACATGAACAAAGATGAATTTCGGATAAATGCCACAGGGGTGCCAAAATAGACTGATAAGATTGAGAGACATTGGTAAGTGTCAATTGTCAACTTAGAGAGAGGCTCTAGTATCTCCTAGGAGTCAGGCCTCCAGGGATACCAGTGAGGGGTTATCTAGAATAGGTTAGGTCCTGGCCCTGGGAGGGAGCAATTATCTTGTTTAATTGAGGTGGGAAGACCCACCCTGAAAGTAGATGGCTCTATTCTCAGATTGCATAAAAAAAAAGCAAGCCCAAGGTAACTGCTTCTTCAAACTCCTGTGTCATGAGTCCCCTGCCCCAATGAACTAACCCCTTGAACTGTGAGCCTGGCCACTGGGCCTCACTAAGGAGCTGTCACAGGATAAAGCTACAGGCTAAGAGGCTGTTGTGGAATATAGCCTCAGGCTGGCTAGTCTCCAGCCTTTAAATGCCTACGCTATTCAGAAAACAAACCAAGCTGATGACTTGAGTTCAATACCGGAACCCAGATGGCAGGAGAGAACTGATTCCAGAAAATTGTCCTCTGCCCTTCACACATGTTGTGCTATATCCTCCTACCAATAAGCAAATATAAAAAAAAATAGGAGGGGCAAGACAGAGTGTGGGCACGCCCACTCATAGCAGCACACCCCTAAACGAAGGTAAAGCAGTGTGTGAGGCAGGCATCTGTGGGACAGAGCAGGGGAGAGGGGACCCCAGTTCCCAGAAGAGTCCTTACCTGGCGGGCCGTGACCTGCTGTAGGGCATTCTGGCATTTGGCAAAGCAAGGATCCTTCATGATGACCATGATAACAGGCATCTGCTTGTCAATGAGCGCCAGGGGCCCATGCTTCAGCTCTCCAGCCAGGATACCTTCTGAGTGCATGTAGGTGATCTCTTTAATTTTCTGCAGAGACACAAGTTAGGACCAGTGTCACACTGGACAGACAGGAGGTTACAGCAGACTAAGCAAAGGGGCAGAGGGAGGCTGTGGGAAGGGTGACTCTGGAGGGTAAGAGCTGAGAGTCTTAAGGGAGATA